TGAGCAGATTGCCTCTCAATTCGATCCGGCAGACCAAGAGGATTCAGAAGAGGAGGATATTCAACCTAAGATCTCAGGGGATACAGCTCTTCAGGCCCTTGAACATCTAAGGCTATATGAGTTGCAGCAGGTAGATGGACAGCCAGAGATTGTGAGCATTCTTGACAAGCAAGAGACTGTAATCAAAAGAAGGAAGGCTGAGATGCGAAAGCAGAGCGATATCACGTGTTTCTTTAGTTAGACTGGATAGTCCTATAACCTGGTTAGCAACATAGAATGAACTCAGGAATAAGTTATGTTCTTATCCAGGTTTGACTGTAGTCATCCTCCAACCCGCAGATCTGTTCTTGGAAAACTCTTGGTCCGCGCCGTATCCAAGTCATAGGACACGAACGAGTGGAGTTGAAGGTGTCGTGGAGCCGACACGGCTTCGTTTCCACCTGCGAGACGACTTGTATTCGCTGTCAGGCGGTCAAAGATCTACGAAAGACAATGACGACAAAGGCCTTGTCCACAGGTCATTTGATCTCTTGCCTGAGGACAAGAATACCTCGGCGAATAAGGTGCTTCGGCACGGCCCGGACACGACCAGGGATGAGGCTGAGTCCAACGTGAGTGATCGACTTCACGTCTGTCTGGATCCTGAATCCTCAGGCACGAAGCATCGGTGAGGGTGTTGAGTCCGTTAAGAGCGGAAGACTGCCAGAATCGACCTCACTTGCGACTCGCACTCGATCGCGAGCTACTACCTCGAACACAACTTGCGAGACTCGGTCGATGCACTTCCAAGACATAGCTGAAGATCGCCCCAGCCAAGGAATGACGCTCGTGGCTTGCAGAACCAAGTTCCTATTTTGGGCTAAGCTCTTATATGGTTATGCGTTGGCTTCCTGGCGACCGACAACACGTCTAGCCGGATATGCAGAGATCGCGAGGGGTTGCGACCCTCAAAACGCTGCATGGCCTGGCCATGTGTTGGCAATGCATTTCACGCTGAGGAAGAATCGACGGTAGTACTACTGGGAAACTGCAACCCGCCCTTGGAATCGCTCAACCTTGCTACTACAGTGCTACTTCCATACGGGTCTCATGACTGGCCCTGTGCTTCAGCCCGTCGTTCATACGTAGCCAGGTCTTCCCGACATCGACCTCCTTACGAAAGGTATGCTCTGCACCGGCTGCTCCATCAGATGACCACCATTCGAGCGCATAGCGTTGAGTGATTCCTAGCCGCTTCCTCCGGTGAACGATTTGACGATGGGAGCTCGCAAACCGGCAGGTTGATAAAGTTCAACAGGTTCGATTGTATCGAGAGGAAGACCTCTTTTCGTTCGCTTTCGTCCTTCTTGTTTTATCACCGCCCAAAAAGCGGCATAACGCTCAGAATGGACAAGCTGGACTTTCCTACTTGCTCTTACTGACGACTCCTCATTTTTCCCGAGGGCTCAACATTGCCGTCCGCGAAATCCTGACCCATTCAAAGCAGCTATGCAGACACCCTGGCGATGAAACAGCAACTCAATGCTTTATTCTCAACCCCTCAAAGGCTCGAAATCCGTCCCAGCCTTAAGCGTCGCTGCCCTCGCCGCCCGCTTCTTCTTCGTCTTGGTTCGAACCAATGCCATGATGGTGATCACAAGCGTCAAGAGCCCCAGAACGACGTTCGCTATGCCGGAGTAGAACGAACTGGACTATTCTCAACGAGTCAGCAAAGCATTCACTATACAGTCCTACTCGATTCAAGGCTTCAACTCCCCTCTGTCACCGGTCAAAGGAATTGGAAAACCCTCACCTGAATATTGCAATACCTCGCAAAATCCACATTCGCCAACACATGCTGCAGCTCCTGCGCCGTATCACTACACGTCCACCCCCACAGATCCCTATGCTTGCCATTCTTATCAGGCTCCTACAACATCAAAAATATCAGCATGTGCCCAACAACCCCATCCCAACCCCCCCAAAAACAAAACAAACCACCCCAACTCACCTTCCCATACCGATAAACCCCCGCCGCCACCCCCCAAGTAACAACATGACTCAAAACCACCGCCCACGTCCACCAAGTCCCCACATTCGCCGCCTGATTCGCCGCGCGAATCCCGCGACAATACGACACCACCACGACGAAATTCAGCACAAACGACACCCCGGCCACCGCCGTGTACATGTACGTGTACCACGGCAGGGAGTCGTTCGCCCAGGCCGTGCGCGACTTGCCGTTGACGGTGAAGTGGACGTCGCGAGTCTGTAGGAATTTTGTGAGGGTGATGAGGAGGGGGATGAGGGTTGCGAGGGAGACGAGGGTCGCGAGGAGGCGGGAGATGATGCGCAGGAGGCGGATGCGGCGTTTGAGGGTCGTGTCGCGGTGCGTGAGGTCGTGGAGGCTGCGGGTTTCTTCGTTGGTGTCGTGTGGGAGGGCATGGTAGGTGGTGGTTTGGGGCGTGGTGTTGGTGCTGAAGGTTGAGGTTAGGGAGGCGGAGGAGTGGTTGTGGATTTGCGAGAGGTGCATCGGTTTGAGGTGGTGGTCGTCCGTGGACTCGTAGAATCTGCCGGACATGGTTGCGGTGAGGTAACCTTTTGACTGGAAAGGTAGGAGAGCGGCTGAGACGTAGTACAGCGTCGTAGAGGACCGTCCAGTCAAGACAGAGAGATCGAATCCAACCCAGCAAGTATATCAAACAAAAACCAAAACCCACGAGAAAACCTACCATGCACGTGGGAGATCTCACGCACTATATCAACAACCCCAAAACCCCGCAGGAAGCAAACTCCCGAATCGTACCTGACGAAGGGTCTATGGAAATAGAGGCTCGTTTCTAGGCGGCCCGGTGGTGGTGGCTTGCATTTCTATTCAGCTTTCAGCTGACATACAAACCTTAACCGAAAATAGCCCTGTTTACTGATATGGCTTGCTCGTCCGGCCACAACTATAGACGAGACATGCTGCATCACCTTGGACCACGTTCTGTATTGAGCCTTAGCTTGTTGTTGGTAAAACGACTGTAGTACAACATTTGGAAATTTCGTTCGTTATCCCTGCAGACTCGCTATTGCTGAACGCTCAATTGATTTCGCCATCCCATCCATCATCAGCCATTTCGTCTCGGCAGAGAGCATCGTGCATACTGTTTTCATCATCGTTGTGTGGAATCACCCTGTCATGTAACAATGAGACGCCTTAATCTCATCCTTTAACCCGTGAAAGCAAATCTTCCTAAGCTTAGCTTGGTCTTGCTAGCGCCGCTGTCTGTTGTCTCTTCTGGACTTTCGGGAACCAATAGGTCTTCGGATCCTTTGACTTGAGGGCTAGATTGTTGAGGGAGTGGTTTCCCCTCCGTCGCTGGCCATTCTTCGTCTTCGATAATGTCGTCTTCGGCCTCTTGGCCCTTGGACTCGAATGAGGTGTTGACATCTATGGGCGAAGAGTTCGGAACAACGACGTCTGCTTCGGTCGAGCTGTCCTTGTCCACGCTCACTGCGGTGACCTTTGTGGACCGTGTCAACCTCAGCGGCGTGCTCGCGAAGAGAGGTGTGGATTTAGTTCGAGGTATCGACTTTCGCAGTGCTTTTGCACCACTATATCGCAAGGCTGCAAAGTTCATGTCAATGCCTTTGCTGAAGACGCTGTGTTCTATGGGAGAGTCAAAGCTGCCGAATGATGTCTCAGGGGTGCCCACATCAACAGACTGTGCTGAGTCGAATGTTGCGGTGGTGAGGACGCTATCTTGAGAGATGTCCCCAATACTGGCATCTTCTTCCGCAATAGGCTGATCCGCAAACACCTCGAGTTTCTTCCTCTTTCGTGGAGAAGCAACACTATCGCTGGGTGCTGGATCTGGTGTTGCAGTTGCGGCTGCTACGGCCTCGACGACAGAGTCGTCAGACCACAGCTCGAATTCATCACTCTTGTTGCGACTCGATTTGCGCCCAAGCGAAGGGCTGGCCTGGGCATTGGCCTTCGCAAAGAAACGACTCGTAGCACTCTGAAGACCTTCTGCGCCCTTCATAGCAGCCGCAAGACCAGACTCTGAGCACAATCGCTGTCTCTTAGGTGATGCGCGGTTGATGGACGGCAGAGGTGCTGTGATCGTTCGCCTCACAGGGTTCGGAGCTGACGAAGGCGCTTGAGTATTCGCGCTTCGAGTGGCTCCAAAGACACGAGTGTCTGAAAGTTGGGACGCAGACCACGACGAGTTGGGTTGCGACTCTAGCAGGCGCTGCTGGCTTGGTGAGGGAGTGAAGGAATTCGGGTCCAACTCAGTCAGCGGCACTCGCTTCTTGAAGAACTCTGTGATCGGCTTTCCTTGCTTCTCATCAGGTGTCTGTACCACTCGCGACCGCACGACGCCTCGATGTTGAAACCTGTCGGGAAGGGAGATCGGCTGCTTGGTGTTTGGATCAAGATCGCCGGATGCGACGCCAGCAGCGAGCTCTGGCTCGACATATTTCCCAATGAATGGCATGCTTGAAGCCTCGAGAACATTCGGTAGTTTTGTCAGGTTCAGCAGCGACTGAGCTTCTGGGCAGAATACCCATTGGTACAAAAAGGTACGTTCTGCGTTCTGAAATGCTTCGAGATAACCAGCAGGTACCTTCATCTTGCCATCGAATTGAACACTGCGAACGACCTTCTCGACAGTCTTATGCTTCCTCACAAGACGATAGGCTGTCTTGAGACCCATCTTGTCGATGCCTGGGAGGTAGTCGCAACCACTGAGCATGGCCATCATACGGAACTCCCGATCAGTCCAGCTAACGAGGCTGATCTCTCGGCATGCTGTGAAATGGTCGCGCTTGATCATGACGCACTCGCCGTATTGATCCAGTTTCGTAAGAAGGCATTTGACGCCAAAGACCAGCAGGTCGGAGTCTTCGCTGATCACGCCGTTGATCGTGCCCTGCTTCTCGAGATATGCGAGCTGGCTGTCGGCTTCGTACGGCGCGACGACGTACGGGACATCCATTCGTCTGAGCTCTTCGATCAGCTCCCGAGCCATCAATGGTGTGACATCTACTGCCTTTTGCAGCTCCAATTGTGCCTGAGACGATCGTCCCATTCGAAGCAGATCTAATCCGACTCTTTTGCTTTCTTTCCGTCTTTCGGCGCGTTCCTTCTCCGTATGTGCCTTGCTCGGTAAGTAGTCGCCATCAAAGACCAGATACGGCTTCACGCCGAAGTGTATGAGCATGCGAACTCGGTGCAGGGCAAAGTCGATGTGTTTCCGGGTCGGCTTCCCCTCCGCTAAGTCGATGGCGCAGGCGACAGTCCCCCGATGCAGCCAGCCATATGCGTCGATCCCCAATGTCTGACCTGAGAAGTTGCGAAGGTGTGTGGGCTTGTGGATGCTCTTGAGCAGCGGCAAGAGTCCTAGTCGCATTGTCAGATGTCAATATCAAGTTGAGCATGGCTTGCGATAGTTCACCTTGGATGCCCATGTTGTCGGGCGATTAGCGTTGTACGAGTGGCTTCATTAGCAGATCATGATATCGGACACCTCCGCGACGCAATATATGCCCTCTGTATGCCACCGGAAGAAAGACGTCGTCGAGTTGTGGTTTGGATTGAAGGTGCAAGCAAGCCTGTGACGCGCTTCTTGAACGCGTCTTGCCGAAGTTGAGCCGATTCGGCATGGACACTCGCACCTCACCTTAATTTTCCATCGCCTCCAAAGTTCACGATTCACCTTCCACCAGGCTAAGATGCCTTCCAGTCTGAACAAAGTGCAGAAGCACGTCAACAAGAAGAAAGGCCACAAAAGCAACGCACTTCACGAGAACAGCAGAGATGCACAGCGTCTTCGCAGAGCAGGCGCCAGGGACGAGAGAGTTGCGAAAGTAACGGCGACGAGGGAGAAGGCCAACCGACCGTGGTTGGAGAGAGTGGAATTCTTCCAAAGCAAGCTGCCTGAGACATTACATCCTCTGGAGCTCGAGAAGATCAAGGAACTTGTTGAGGAATTTCTCTCTCGACATAATGAGGAACTTGCCCAGTTAAAGGCGGAGAGGAGACCAGGACGGCCGCCATCGAATAGGCAGACCTTACTAGAGCAGCAGATCAAGCAGGATGCACTGGAGTATGAGGGCGGATTCTGGATGCCCAACATGCAGGACGAGGAGACGCTGATGAACATTGAGAAATGGGCTGGAGAGTGGATGGCGCTGGCTCCGTTGAGGTTCGTGAGGGTGGTGAAGGATGGTGAAGTGAAGGAGAGCCAGTTTCCACCTCGCGGTGCTTCATAGAGTGAATCGCCTCGTTCTCTCTTGCCTTGCCTGTCGAGCGCACGGACCTCACTAGATCTTTCCTCATCCCGTACCGCCTGCCTCTCCATTCGGCTTCCTCACGACACGAGCAACACAACGTCGTGCGATCACCACGAGAATAATGGCGCCGAACATACCGCCCGATCTGTTCGCAATCAACAACAGGCGCAACGTGTAAGATTTGCGTCTTTTGCGGGTACCGCTCACCGACTGACACCTCACAGTTGGACTGGCGATGTCATCGTCGTTCTAGTCGGCAGTCAGGAGAAGCGCTTTATAGTCCATGAGACTCCTCTCCGCGAAAACTCCGCATTCTTCGAAGCTGCTTTGGGAAGAGATTGGAAGGAAACAGCCGACCGTGTGGTCAAACTACCCGAAGAGGCGCCATATCAGTTCCACGTCTACGTCCATTGGCTGTATCGCGGACTTTACAGAGGAATGAAGGATGGGTCTCAATTCAGCCCGCGTGACCTTGCGCGCCTCTATACGCTCGGTTCTCGCCTTCAAGACCACGATTTTCAAGATGCAGTCGTCGACGCATTCATCTACCGGTGTGGCATGATCCCCACTATCCCCGACGACAATATTGTGTACCTCATCTTCAGTAACACGATTGAAGGCGATCCGATGAGACGATTCCTCGTTCATGTGCGCGTGCGAGCTGGGTACTTGGAACTTTCGACCATGAGATCGGTGGGCACATGGCGGAGTTCTATTTCGATGTTGCAAAAGCAGCTATGGAAGGTCCAAAGACAGGCGTAAAGCATGTCGTTTCCGAGGGACAGGGAACGTGCAAGTACCATCAGCATGGTGATCAACCTTGCTATCGTGCGGCGCGTACGTAACGGATTGAAACGAAGTCTGGAAGTAGAGCCAGAAGGTATGAAGTGTGCACGATACGTCAAACATGTTTGCTACGCCATGGTTCCTATCCTACCAATAGTCCACGCAACGGAGCGTCAGGTACCTCGAGTCGGCTACACCTCTGTCTCGCTTCCTTAGTGACAAATTGGCCTAAGCCCCTTCCTGCGAGCGAGCAATTGAACCGTCATGATTGCTTCCATGAATGCATGATTCGAAACGACAACCACTTCGGGCCACTCCACCTCCATTGCAACATACAGTTGAGGCTACCAAAGACGGCTCCCCCTGGTGGCCTTTCTGCCGAGCGACAGCCCCTGTTTTGCTATCTCCTGATTTCTTTGAGGCGGACCCCCATAACCGATGGCGGTATACTACGTTTCATGCAGTCTGACCGATGGCAGTGCATGCTGCTGCTACTTTCAGCATCACAGCTGAACCTGCAACGCATCTCAGTTCAGTCTGCCTCTCCAAAACGGAGGTGCAACACCATTGGAGAGAGTAGTCTCGCTTCCCCTGGCCGCAGCTACTTCTGCACGCCACCGTTGCACAACATGAAGGCGATCTCCAACTTCGCGAGCTGGTCCCCAGGCGGCCTCAGTTGCCGCTACCGTCCCCCTCGTTGCCCAGCGAAAACCTAGACGAAGCCAACATGTGTGGAAAAGTGCGGCCCCAGCTGAATGGCAAGGCTGTACTCACAGTCAATGGTATATATGTCTCTGTCGAGCGACCATGAGATCTACGTTTGAATTAGCTACCGTTCACAACATTACAAATCGATATACAAACTCATGTCGACACCGACAGCCACCCCAGCCACGAGCATTGGTTGCGAGCCTGATCCCGACATAGCTGGGCTGGGTGTAAGTCATTCCATCACCGCAACTGTTCAATTCGTTAAGCTTACACACCCTAGATCCTGATCTCATTCACAGTCGCCTCTATTCTCACCCTAATCTTTTCGACCGTCGCTCTATGGGCGCCCAAAATACAAACCTTCCGATACGGCTCTTTGCCCCAGGCCCAAGGCGACCGTCGGGCTATCCACAAGCCCCGACGACTGGAGAGACTTGTCAAGTCTGGCGACACCATGGCCCTGAGCCAGGTCGTGCTCACAATCGCCGTCATCACTTCCACTCTAATCACCTACCGAAAGAAGCTGGGAGATCCGCACGCACTCCTCGCAGCCACACTCAGTCTTCTGGCTCTCACAAGCGCTCTCCAGGTCTTTATCCCGAATACATCACGCATGGAAAGTCGTCAATGGAAACTCATGCTATTCCTCGGCCTCTCCATCCTCGTCCTCCTCATAGTCCTCGTGGCCCTAAGGAACACAAGCCTAATCATGATCGTCCCTGCTGTTTTGCTGATCATAGGATATGTGTGCTTCTTCCTTGTCCGACGGACGCTTGGAGAAGGGATGTGGTTGACTGTCCTTCATGTCGCGATGACACTTGAAGCCATCGGCCTAACCTTGTGGCTCATCGTGCACGCTTTCAAACAGAAGCATACAGAGTGGATTCAGAGTGGGACGGGAGTGCGATGTAGACTCGATACGGAAGAGGAGAATGAGTGGTCGTTCGTGCAGACTGTAGCCGTGATTATGGTGGTTGCACCTTTGCTTGATTGTGTTAGCTCTTTGATTGGTGAGTGCTAAATATCCTATGATCCGTATGGCGCTGACGATTTATCAGAAAGAAAGACGCCAAAGTCGACTTATGAAGGGAGTCACGGCGAGGACATAGAAATATGAGCTGCCACATCGATCCTCATACTCGCAGTCGCCTCTCCCTCAGATACTCGTAATGCGGCATAGCAATATCCACCAGCTCCTCCATTAGCGCAAGCTCGTCCGCGTTGAACTCCTTCTTCCATTTCTCCCTCTCGGCATCCAAATCGAGATTCTTCGACGCACGATTGGGCCTGATCCCTCCAGAGTCCACCAGCGTAGCCTGCACTTGGAGGAGCATTGGATGCATTTCCTGTTTCTCATTCTCCGTCGCTTTGGGCCAGGATACGATTGCCTTCGCTGGATCCAGTCCCAGCTTGCCGGTCAGATGCCGGGCGAACGACTCACTGGACATGTAGTCGTCCGAGTCGGCAACGACGGGTTCGATGCCGTGGGCCACGTAGTAGTCGTACAGGTCCCGGTTGAATGCCAGGCTGGTGTTTACGATCCAGTTGCTTCGTTTGCAGCCAGTGTAGAGTGAGTTGGTGGCGCGGTAGTTCGAGGGAACGTAGAGGACCGGGTGGCGGATTGTGATGAGCGGGATCGTCCCGGGGTGTAGTAGGACTTCATCAGAGACGGTTGTGAAGTTGTGCTTATGGTCTCGTCTTTCTGAAGACTTCGGCGTCTTGACGACTTCGAGGACTCGTTCTGATGATATTGTGCATAGAGCGTGTTCGTGCATGTACAGTGTTTGATTCTGCCCCGTCAGTAACATTCTCATAAGCAGTCTATGATTCAAGACCTACTGCATTTTGAGCATCTTTTAGAGTGGCTTGCCACTTCTCGTTTGATTCTGCAGACTTTGTGTCGAATTCCATTCGGTCGGGATTTGACTCGTTTTCAATGTCTTCGCCGGACAGCCACCTGAACTGGGGATAAATAGGTGGTTCATGCGGATGCCACAACCACTTCAAATTCTCTTGCTTGGAAAAGACCACTTTCTCCAACATGTGGCAGCCACTTCTTGGCAGAGACCAGAACACGATTTGGGAAGGCTTCGTGGAGGCGTTCGTTGTCGCCATCTTGCATGTGGCTCAGTGCAGGAGGAAGAAAGTCTAATTGTTGAGAGAAAAGAAGATAGGCGACCTCTGAAGATATACCTCTTCGTTAGCGTGCAACATAGTCGAGCTGAACCCACTTGTAGGTCATCCTCAGCCCTACGAGCCAAGCGTTTCTTCGGATCTTTCGCATCTCAAGTCTTGGTGCCTTTGTCGGTAGTCTATATTAGCCCCATACCTGCTAGTTTTTCGTGGGATTCTGATATCAAGCGAGGGTATTGCAAATGCGCTGTCATCGGCAGCAAATCTGTCACACGAACGTCGCTTCCTCAGCAGCTTATGATGACCGGCCTCCGTTAGCAGCCTTGTCTGTTGCACTCCTCGTTTCTTGGGAAAGGTTTTTGAAAGCCTCAGGCTCTTTGCCTTGGAAGCTGAATAGTGGCTTGTCACAATAGTCTCGTAGATTGGCCGGTCTCTTAACCTTCGAGCCAACCTGGGAGTCAGCGGCGACACACTCAAAGCACGGCTCTGTGCGACAATCCTTCGGCTTTCCGTGGACGATGGACCAGTCGCGTCGCGTCTCAGGCTCGGATGGAGAGCCAACATACACCTCGAGGCTCAATGGCATGAGAAGGATCTCAATGTAGGGAAGCGGGCGTCGCTTCCAGACAACCCATCGTTACAGTCCTTTGCACGCTGCATTGATGGACCGCAGCATCCTCGTCTGGATGCCGCTTTGACGCTGCATATCAGGTAGTCAGGGTCAACGAGTTCGAGGCGGATGTCATGGAGAAGAAGAAGAGGGGTCATGGTCCCAACTGACACCACGCCGTCTCCACTTCCCGGCGCTTGGCCGAACCTTGTCTCGACGACAACCTTCTTCTCGCAAGCATCTCCCGCAAATGATGCAACAATGTGACCCCTCAATAGCCGTCGAGCCGCGCGAGTGCATATAGAGTCGATCTCGTGCCTGAATTGATGCCTCCAGGATCCCGCCTATACCCCTCTTGGCGGTGCGACCTGGATGTGACACCTGGAGTAAGTTTTCACGATGCATGATCTCCAGGCGAAGGAAGCGTGGTTGCATTCGATGGGTATTGGAAGGAAACGAGGATCCACAATGGCTTCATATTAAGAGCCAAGCTGCCTAGAGCTTTGTGATTGTGAGTCTTGCTAGACACTGAGCTCAGTGGACAAAGTCACTGATGATGAGAGGCGTACTTTTTGCCATGGCTTTGCAGGCCATGCTGGGCATGGCAAATGGTGTGTATGAGAGCCGCAAGGCATACACAGTGACTAACTATCCTGTCCAGCACAAGCATCCACCTCATCTATGCCAGCGCCTACTGTAACTCCAACCGTCCAAGACCCGACTGCTCCAGATCCTCAAAAGTGCCCAGGATACCGAGCATCAAACGTGCAGAACAACAATCACGGCTTCACCGCTGATTTGACCCTGGCTGGTCAGTCTTGCAACGTCTTTGGGACCGATATAAAAGATCTCTCCCTTGTAGTCGACTATCAAGCGAAAGAGCGGCTCAACGTTAGGATTGTGCCAAAGCATATTGCGCCCTACAACAGCTCTTGGTATATCTTGGACTCTGAGTTTATTGAACAGCCGCAGTGGGATGGCAGCACGTCGTCTCAGAGCAGCGATCTCCAGATCAAGTGGAGTAACAACCCTTCCTTCCAATTCTCCACCTCCAGGCGAAATGGTGGCGAAGAGCTGTTCTCCACCTTTGGACATGTCATTGTCTATGAAAGTCAGTTTCTGGAAGTTGTGACAAACATGCAGCAAAACTACAATGTCTACGGGTGAGTTCGATCAAGACTTTGGTTGCCAAATTGCGGGATACTGATGAACTTTGCAGCATCAACGAAAACATCCACAACTTCCGCCTGGGCACAGACTACACGCAGACTCTCTTCAACGCAGATACGGCTGATCACCTGGATGGAAACTCATACGGCACGCATCCCTTCTATCAAGAGACCCGCTACTCTGATGGCGGTTCCACCGCACATGGAGTGTACTCTCGCAACGTCCACGCCCAAGACTGGTTGCTGCGCGATACAAGCATCACACTCCGAGCTATTGGCGGCAGCATAGACTTGTACTTCTTGAGTGGCGAGACTGAAACTTCTGATGGGCCCACCTGGGGCGGTCGTCCAGGCTGGGGCAACTTCTGGTGGGGAGGGCACCACGGAGCTCACGGAGGGAATGGTGGCCAGCAGACGTCAACTTCGACCGCTCTCGAAGTCTTCCGTCAGTACCAGGCAGGCTGCGTTGGCTTGCCAGCGATGCAGATGTACTGGACCTATGGCTTTCACCAATGCCACTGGGGCTACAAGAATACCGACAATCTGCGGGAGGTCGTGACCAACTACTCAAACGCTGGTATTCCTTTGGAAGGTATCTGGACAGATATCGACGCCTACGACCGCACAAGGGTCTTCACAAACGATCCAGTCAACTTTGCCCCTGTTGATATGCAGTCACTCCATGCGTGGCTCCAGTCTCGTGGACAGCACTACATTCCTCTTGTTGACAGCAATGTCTACTTTCCCAACCCAAACAACGCCAGCGATGTGTACGAGCCGTTTCAAAGAGGTGATGCACTCCAGACATTCATTCGAGACTCTGGCACTGGCTACTATTACCTTGGAAACGGCTGGCCTGGCTTTAGGTACGAAAGATCCTGTTTGAACAAATGTCATGTTTACTGACTTCTCATCTAGTACTTGGGCGGACTGGCTCATCCCTTCATCGCAAACATGGTTCACTGCTGAAATGCAGCTGGCTCATGAGCGTGCTCCTTACGATGGCATCTGGATCGATTTGAACGAGGCCGCTTCGTTCTGCGCATACTCCTGCGGCAACGGCGAGCTCCCAGCAAGCTATATCCACCCGCCTTCTAACATGTCTCGGGATACCAGGAACCTCAACAACCCACCGTACAAACCGAATGTCAGCCAAACCTCAACCAACAACATCATCGACATGGTGATCCTGCCGAACGCCACCCACAACGATCCATACAACACAACTGAGTACGACATTCATAATCTGTTCAGCGTCGGCATATTGAGGGCAGCCTACAACGCGATGTCTCAGACGGTGTTCCCTGGCAAAAGGCCATTCATCATTGGTAGAGCCTCCGTTGCTGGCAGCGGTAGATACACCGGCAACTGGGGCGGTGACAATGACTCCAGATGGGGCGCCATGTTCCTGTCAATCTCACAGGCACTGGGCTTCCAGATGGTTGGTGTTCCGATGTTCGGCACAGACACATGTGGGTTTGGTAATGCCGTTAACACGACAGAGGAACTGTGTGCACGGTGGGCGGAGCTCAACGCCTTCTTCCCATTTTATCGGTGAGTGCGACGCAGTTGATAGATGACTTCTTGCTGACCATCGCAGCAACCACTACGGTATCGGCAAAGCACCACAAGAATTCTACAACTGGGAAAGCGTATCAGAAGCCGCCAGAAGAGTGATCTCCATCCGATACAGCATCCTGACTTACATCTACACCTTGTTTTACTACGCACATACCCAAGGTGACACCGTAATGCGGGCCTTGGCTTGGGAATTCCCAGACGACTCCACTCTCTACCAGACGGACACGCAATTCCTACTGGGCCCTTCGATCCTGGTGACCCCCGTCTTGACCGAAGGCGATTACACCGTCAATGGCGTGTTTCCAGGAATTGGACAAGGCACAAGATGGTTTGACTGGTACACGTTGCAGGAGGTGAAGAATGTTCGACCGCAGCAGAACGTCACAATGGATGCACCGCTTGAGCATATCAATGTTCACATCCGGGGCGGTACTGTTCTGCCTACTCAGGCACCTGGCAACACCACTACGGTGACGAGATCTAACCCGTACGGTATCATCATCACGCCGGACAACCAAGGCTCTGCCAGCGGAAACCTGTATTTGGACGATGGCGAGAGTATTAGCCCAAGTTCGACCAAGCTAGTCGAGGTAAGCACAGATTGATCATCACTAGGGATAGTGGACTCCTGCTAATACTCCCATAGTTCGACTACTCTCGCGGCCGCTTAACTACCAAGAATACAGGCAACTACCAAGCCACCGCACCCTTGGCGAACATCACCATAGCGGGCGTATCACGACAGCCACGCAGCGTGACGTTCTCGACGGGCCGTGGCCGCCCCAGTAACGTGAAGAGTCACTTTGCGAACAATACTCTGTATGTTACTGGCTTGGAGCAGTACACCAGAGGAGGAGCGTGGCAGAATGAGTTTACGCTGCAGACTTCCTAGATGAAATTTGGCGGAGGAAATGTCAACGGTAGGATGTTGTAACATCAGAGAAGAGAATTAACAATCGTTTGGCAATCAGCCTTCTCAACCAACCTATTCTGAGATGAGAATCACCAGCGTACAGACAATCTCTCACATGCAACCTCACCACAACCTAAATGCCCATCACATAAACCGCCTCACCACCCCGACCACCACCCCAATCACCAAAACCCAACTCCCATACCCAACCCAAGCAAAAACCCCCAATGCCCTCTCAAACCCCTTACTCTCATTAACCCTCGGAAACCCACTCACCCTCCCCTCCCCATCCCTCGGCGCCTCCACCCCAAGAAATTCACAAAGCACCTCATACCCCATCTTCGGCTCGAAAACCAACAACCTCTCCTCAGGCACAACCCTCTTCACCCACTCATTGTGCCGCTCATACGCAGCCTCCTCGCCCCAAGCGCATCCGTAGCGTCGTTGACTCAGCTCGTCCATGCGGGTTAGCAAGGGGATGACACCGAATGTCATCCCGGGAAAGAAGAACGTGGCGAATTTCATGGAGGGAGTTGCTACCCTACCGATCGTGGCGGCGAAGGATGTCTTCCAGGCTGAGGGGGAGGAGCGGATGGAGAGGACGACTTTTGCGTCGGGATACATCTCGATTAAATCATCTACGAAGTAGCATGTCGGGCAGTCCACGGCGGCGGGGGCGGCCGTGGAGGTGTAGAGGTTGTGGAGGAGTGCGCGGCGGGTGGATTTGGGGGTCTGCGGGTCGAAGAGGCGTTGCCAGGTCCGGGTGTGCGTGTAGGGAAGGGTGTCGCCGATGATGTGCATGCGGAAGTTGTGGCACGGGGCGTAGCCGAGGGTTTCGAGGGCGTTGTGGAGGGACGTTGTTGCTGTTCGGGGTAGGCCGCCCTGTTTGGGGTATTAAGTCAAGTTCATGGTTGGATGAAGTGGTGAGCGGTATAGAGAGACGTACTCCGATGACTTGGAGGCCTTGGTACTCAGTTGGTTTCTTCTCGTTCATCGTCATTGCTTGTTGCAGAGAAATGAAACGATGATAGAAAGAGAAAAGACGGCCATACAGTGAGGGGCGGCGATCGCTTTCATGAATGTAGAAGTGGGCTTTTCGTGACCTCTGAGACCTGAAGCGAATCCGATGACTGGTGACGAGCCATGATGGATAGCAGCCTCATCGATCGGTCTTTCGATAAACCCGCCTATTGTGTGGCGTGAAGGATCAATGCCGTTCCCGATCCAGTACGGACCTCAATCCGCAAGATACACGTGCGCCTTCTGTTGTTGCGACATTGGACAAAGCGTAGCAGAAAGTGGCAGAGAGTCAATACTCCGTCCAGTCGCTACATTCGAAAAGTCTTGCAAGGTCAAAGCTCATTCCGTGAAGCTGCTGCATATACCCCGATCTGAAAGCTAATGGTTTTCGGGTTATATGCTTCCAGGTACGTACCTTGACCCGTGGTCAGAAAGCGTCAACCACTCCATAGTAGCGATGCGTCCAGCAAAGGCCAATCCATCATAGTCTGAATATCAATGCAAAAGAGGATCCTTGTGCGTCAAAACCACTGCCGTAGCGGCATCATTGGATCCTTTTTGACCAGCTGGATGTCGATCTCGAACGTTCCTTCCACAAACTTCATCAACTTGCAAATCAGGTCCGCCTGCATGTCTTCCATGAATCGGTCCGACCAAGCACTCTCGAGATAAGACTGCTGGCGTTGATGAATCTCAAGCTTGAAGAGCCGCAGTTTGGACAAAGTCTTGATGCCCTTGAACGCCCACAGAACATACTTGATGTTCTCCAGCTCGCTCTTGAAGATGTTGATGTGGATGCGAAGCTTGCGTAGTTGGGGAAGTTCCTGGCTGATGACTTTCCAATACTTGTCGAGGCCAGCAAGAGCGTCTGGACGGTTTTTCCGTGAGGAAGCTCCAGTGATGCCGCCGCTTGCATTGGCAGAAACCAGAAGGAGTTGGCGCATGTGCTTTCGAGCGTACTGTGGAATTGGCTCAAGGACTGCGGCCGTTTCCTTGGCCTTGACCGAGCCGCCGATTCCTGCAATGCGGACTCGCAGCTCGAACAGGCTGCAGAGAACTTCGACAGCTTCCGCCAAAATCTGCTTGTTGGCTCTCAACAGTCCAGTCGTGACTTCGTTCTGGGCGCAGTCGCATCTGTGATGGGCGCTCGTCGAGGAGATTGCACATCATAGACCTTCAGTGTGGCCTTTCCGCCTCAAGAAGATTGGGTGGGCTTCCGGGTCCGCGAGAGGATCGAGTGCATACTCGTATATTCGAATGCGCAGTTCGGGCGGCAGGCTCATGAAGTTGGCCCCAGCCATGATGGATGCTGATGGGGGGTAAGGCAGACGTCGCTATCTTATGAAGGCCTGGCAAGTAAGTATGCTCTCTCCTACCGAGCTATATCAGCGGAAGTCGATGTGAGTGGTGATATGACGTACCGGAGAAGTTTTGAGATGGTCCGTGAAAGTGAGTCGGTCGATCTTGAGACCAATGTTGGAAGATGAGAGGATGGAGGAGGACAGGGACGAAAGTTAAGATGAGTTGTTAAAGGTTCGGGGAAAGGGCAGAGAGAGTAGGAACTTGCCGCCTCCAGCTCATGAGGCAGTCGCGACTGCTCGAATGAAGGAAAGTGCGTTCCAAGAGACCATGTATTGGTTTCGAGAGACGATGACTTGAGCAGATGGCATTGAATTGAGACGGTGTCTGAAGCGTTGCACGGGTGAGCATTGAGAGTCGCATCAGCAAAACTTCACCCTAGCATACATAACATGACCCAGGTGGACATCGACAACAAGCCAGCTCGGCGAAACCGCCGAACAGGCGACAGATACATGGTTCTGCCACTGCGCATAGCGTTGTTCATGATCCGCACGTTCATAGACTGTCCTGTCCGTCATTTTTGAAGCTTGAAGTGCCTTCGGTAGGCGACCTGACTTGACACCAATGGCGCCCTTCGGTCAACCGGCGTATCTCGTGCTCCTTTCCGGAGGCAGATTCATAGTCCCCGTCGATGTCTTCCTGTCCGCCATGTCTCGTCATCTTCCACCTCACTCATCACCACCTTCTCCTCCGCCAGGCGGACCTGATTTGCCCATCTGGCGTGCTTTGAGCATCTCGTCACAGAGCAGGAGATTCGAAGCAATGCCAGTCGAGCTCGCAATGCTGTTCCTCAACACTCTGAAACTGTCATAGACACCTTGCTGCACAGGATCCATAGGTTCGCCGAGCGTCAGATCAAGACCAGCGACATGGCCATCGGCGTGCTCGCCTTGAAGATTCGCAACTGTCGAATGTCAGCAATCAGCACAATATGCAGCGAGCGAGCCACTTACGGCAATCCTGGATGTCGTGACCGCTGTTTGCGGCGAGCGTCTTTGGAATGACCAGGAGAGCATCAGCGAAGGCGGAGACTCCCCACTTCGTCTTGCCCTTGACTTGCTTCACAAACTCGTCTGAGGTCAGTCTCCGTGCAGCTGCAACCTGGAAAGCACCACCACCAGGAACCACGCTCTTGTCTACAATCATGTTGTACACTGATCGCAGACCATCGCGTACGGCATCCTTGATTTGGTTGATAGTATGCGAGTTGGGCCCCTTGATGAGGAGAGTCACCGACTTCGGATCCTTGACCTCCTCGATGAATGTGTACTTCTCCTCGCCAAGCTGGTGCTCGTAGACATGGCCTGCCCAGCCCAGAACGTCTGGCGTAAGGTCGTCCACACTGTTCTGCGCAATGCCTCCACAGATGAGCTGCAGACGCTCCATGTTCCTTCTCTTCGCTCTCCGCAGTGCGAAGATGCCATTCTTCACCAAGACGTCCAGCGACAGTGGGTCAATACCCTTCTGATTGATTATCACGAAGCCCTTCTTTGGATCTGTCCCGCACACCTCTTTCTTCAGCTCGACGATCTTCCGCAGCTTTTCATCGACGAATCTCCGCTCGCTCTCCACAAGCTTGTCTCGCTGCTCCGCGCTAGAGTAGTAAAAACCACTGTTGATCTCACTCTTCTCGTACTCTAAGCTGACATTGAGAGTCAGAATGTATGCATTCTTGACGTCTTTCGCCATGTCTGGATGCCGAGCACCGTGATCGAGCGCGAGGCCTCGGATGAGCTGTGTGTCTGCGGCTGTTCGATGTTGCATGGTCATGATCTCAACCATGTGGAGGTCAGGCTTCGCTGGAGGTTGGTAGATGGCCAGGACTGAGTCGACGATGTCTGGGGTGAGTTGCTCGGCGAGAGTAGAGTTGATCTTGGTAGATAATGACGTCCTGGCAACAGACAGTAAGAGTTCTCTGTCCACCTCCTTCGCCAGCTTGAATTCGTCCAGGAACCGTAGCGTCTCGTTCTTTGCAACCTCGTAGCCGTCGGTGATGACTCTGGGGTGTAGGCCTTCGCTGATGTACCGATCTGCCTGCTTCAACAACTCTCCCACCATCAGGACCACGCTCGTAGTTCCATCGCCGCAGATTTCATCTTGCGCTGTCGCTGCTCTTGCGATCATGACCGCTGTGGGGTTCTGTATTTGCATCTCTTTCAACAGCACACTGCCGTCTTTCGTTAGCTTGATGCCACCCGCGCCATCGACCAGCATCTTCAGAGTGCCCGTAGGCCCAAGGTTCGAGGCCAACACATCCTGCAGGCCTTCACCAGCAGAGATGTTGACTCTCAGAGCCTCTCCACGTCGCCGTGATTCCGCCTTGGGGTTGAGGAGCTGTGCTGCCGACATGCTGATTCAATCCGATGTCAACAAAAGCACGTGCAAGGTGTAAGTGAAGGTGATGTGAAGCTGTTTCGTCAGGCAGTCGCGTGGTCGTTTCTTTCCGCGTCGAGAATATTTAGTCTCATGAATCTCAGACACTTTAGGCTAAGCTTTTTTGAGCAAGAATCGAGCTCTGATTGGCTATGTGGAAGGCCTGAGTCCCGAGATTCCTCACATTTGCCAAAATTCGCCGGACACCAACTCAGACTCAACCACACATCAGTCAAGATGGAATCCGAAGAGAGACCTACCAAATTACGGAAGCTCAGCCACGACAACATCAAAACTGAGAATGGCCCAAAGGACGATTTTGAAGCGTCACATGTTCGTTCTGAAAATGGACACGCAGATGCTACGAACGAACTTGGAAAGGAATTGCCAAAAGCTGAGGACACTCACCACGACGAAAAGTTCGTAGAAGAAGATGATCATCTGCCAAATCCTGAAGAGACAGCGCCTTCCTTAGCAGCGATCAATAGCGGCACCGGCGATCCGCCTTTATCCAAGAACCAAATGAAGAAATTGCGGAGAAAGGCTGAATGGGAGTCGAAACGGGACGAAAGAAAAGTCGTCCGTAAAGAAAAGGCGGTCGCTAGACGTGAACGCAAGAAAGCCGCCAAGCAGGAAGCAGAGGCAAAAGGAGAGGCGCCTGCTGAGCCGCAAAGACAGCTCCAAACTCATGCCGTGCAATTGCCAGTCACGATTGTGATTGACTGCGATTTCGACGATCTGATGCGAGACAACGAGCGAATCTCACTGGCTGCACAGATCACTCGATGCTATTCGGATAACAGGAAAAGCCTCTTTCGAGCTCACATTGTCTACTGCTCTTTTGGAGGCAAGCTGAAGGAACGATTCGATACAGTTCTGGACAAGAACTACCAGTCTTTCCGAGGCGTGCGTGCTCTTGATTCGGACTTCGTCGAGACTGCAGAGAAGGCGAAGGAATGGATGTCTGCAGCTGAAGGCGGCAAGCTGGCTGGGGTCTTCTCCAAATACGCAGAACTTGACGACGAAAAGCGGGAGAAGTTGAAAGCAGAAGGCGAAGTGGTCTATCTTTCGTCCGAAGCTGACGAGGACTTGACCGAGCTCAAACCATACAGCACCTATATCATAGGCGGCCTGGTGGACAAGAATCGCGAAAAGGGCGTGTGCCATAGACGTGCTACGAACCGTGGGATCAGGACGGCTCGACTTCCAATTGGCCAGTACATGGAGATGCAGAGTCGCAAGGTCTTGGCTACGAACCATGTTAACGAGATCATGATCAAGTGGCTAGAGTGCGGTGACTGGGGTGAAGCGTTCATGAAGGTCATCCCCAAGAGGAAAGGCGGGTCCCTGAAGGGCGAAGAGGGAATCAAGGAAGAAGACGACAAGAAAGAAGATCATGAAGAAGGAGACGATAACGGCGAGGAGCACGCAAACAGCTAAATTTGGCGAAAGCTACGACCACTTCAAATGCAACCGCTATCACCTGCTGCAAGCACTCCGGAGAACCGTTCACCAAGCGGCGTTCCCAAGAGTCCATAAACCCATACCCAGCAGCTGCATCGGCGTCACAGCTCACGGGAACCATATCTCTGGCTTTGGTTGAGCTTGGGTACCGAACGAGAAGTCCTGTTTCGCCTGTTCATAGACCATTTGGCCTTCGTAGGCCATTCGAGCTACTACCACCAGCCGCCCTTCGCCAAAGCGCCGAACTTTAGCCACACAATCAAGATCGACAGACAGCCAAAAGAAGGCACGTCCTGTTTCGCTCTCTGGGGCCGTTCAGGCTCGACAGGTGGCTGGAATTTGCTATCTTCCATGATTGGCTCGCTGCGCCGCCAACCCTTGCAGCAACGGGCGACAGAAAGAGAGCGTGTCCCGTTTCGCCCTTTCCCAGGCCTTTCAGGCTTGCTATGGCCATTTCTGGCAGCCAAAAGATTAAAACTTTACAACACACCCTCATGCGCGCCGGCCGGTAGGAAAGAAAGTCACGTCCTACGACGACGAATCAATGCAGCACACCGTTGGGAGGCCAACACAATCTGCTACCTACGCCGCTCAGCTACATTGATCGAACCAGGCTTAGAACGCCAAGTCGTCTGCATGCCCCTGCATGTTTCACACGTGACTGACCACCAGACCGCACATTGGCGCTTAGCGACCTGGTAGTTGCGACGCACGGCGCTTTGGCCATCGATCATAGATGCATTCTTTGAGGCCGCCCCATGCGGTGGCTGGTCGTAGGCGGCAGCGGTCCGTGAAACCCGCTGAGCCTGCCATAGCACGCTAAGTTTGACTATGGCCACAGGCAAGTCTTTGCTTTGGGGGCGATGCTTGTGCGGGTTCAATATTTCTATGTGTCCCAACTCCTCGCCAGACGGAAACGTGGGCTTTCCAACTCCTTCCAGAAGACAGATTCACTCACTGAGTTCCTACTCCTTGACTAGTGTCTTTGTGTTTTCCTGAATCATGACCTCCTCCCACGCTAACCCCGGCCAATTCCAGAGCGGTTATCCACCATTCGATTATGAGGCGTTGGTAAATCAGGCTCCAGTTCCAGTGGCCAATATGACAGGTTCGGGTGCACGCCAAGACGCCCAGTCTGCTTCGGCCGAGCCTGAAACTGAGGAGCTCGACACCAGATTCGACACGTCTGCTGAAAAGGCAAACAACAAGAGAGACAAGGAGGACGGCGACTACACTCTCAGGAAGAGAAAGTCCGCACAAGGTTCTGCATCAACTGCAACCAAACGGCAGAGGCAGTCTGCGACGAAGGCCTCTGAGTCCAGCGGTCCACCAACGACTACCACAACCAAGACTTTTGAGGAATGCGACGAGACTACCAGAGGCCTTCGTAAAGCGGCTGTTGAGAGTCTGAAAGAGATCTGGGGTGCTGATCCTCGAAATTGGCCAGTATTTGAGTTCAGTCCAACACGTCTTGTGAAAACCCAGTGGGGGCCTCAGAAAGGCCGAGAGATCGAGCAAAAAGATGGGCCGCTAGACTGGAGCCTTGGACTCATCCACGAGATAGTATGCCTGGCCAAGAACACTACTGATGATCAGCGTCATCGCTCTGAGCAAGTCCTGAGGGAAATCATCGACGACCGCGTTCGTGATACCGACAGCGAAAAGATGATGTGCACAACCGACATTCGGCGGACGAATGATATCCTGACTCGAGAGCTATCTGAAGCAGGCCCAAGTCATCGATCGCCAACCCTCGCTGCTGCTGTCACCAGCAACCAACCCAATGTCGACCGCAATGACATCCCTCAACCTCACAGCAGCATAGAGCGGGTAGACTCCCCGCTGATGTCCGACGAAGTGGACATACAGCCTGGGGGAGGCCAGGGGTCCGCGGCATTGGACAGAGGCTTGAGCGATGACCCGCTCCCCAAGAACTTTGACAGCAACAGTGTTGAAGAGAACGAACGGTACATCAAGGGATTGCAGGAGATTGTCGAAGAGAAGAAACGTCAGCATCTTGCACTGTCGGAGAAATTGCAAAGCTTCCGCACAAAGTTTGCTCCCCGTGTGTGAGTGAGTAAGCCACACCAACAACACAACAAATGTTTCCAAGAGAGATACTACGCAGTTTCTAAATCCCACAAACCCATCCATCTTCAGCATTCTCATCCTCATTCAGACTCCACCCCCGGCAATCCATACTTCCCCAAATTCTCTTCCTGCTCCTTGCGATACTTCTCTCGATGCTCATCCAGATATTGATCCAACTCTGGATCTGGTGATCTCGGAATCGTACGGCTTCTGGAGCGAAATCCTTCGGAGCCTGCGATGCTCTTGCCTGGACTCGGCTCGGCGGAGGCTCTGTCTATGACTGGGCGTACGTCGTCTGCTTTTAGGCGCCATCTGGTTATTCGCCCTCGCTTTGGCGAGTATCGCCTTTCCGCCGGAGGAGGTGATTTTCTGGAATTCCCACTGCTGCCATTCTGCCGCGGAGATATTCCTACCCCTCCCCCTCCGACAGACCTTGCACTCCCCGTCGGCGATACCGATACGTTGTCACCAAGCTGGATAAGACGACGGCGAATAGTCGATAGATCCCTTTCGGTATTTCCTATGTCTTCCGCTTCGGTCTTCACGCTCTGCTCTACGAATTCCTCGAATCTCTTGTGGTTTGACGCCCTGAATGTGCACATATGTTCCATTTCGTGTCCTCTCAAGATGGCCTGCTTTTCGTCATGTCTTTGTTGCACTTCGTAGAGGTGCTGTAGAAGGGCCGCATATTGCTCCTTCAGTTCATCGACCGTGAATTCGGTAAATCTGGCGTCGTCATCCATGTTTGGAAGGTTCAGTGCTTCTCCTTTATGTTGCTCGACGACGGGGCCATCGTGTTCACGACCCTGGATATCAGCGCCAGGAGATTGTCCACCAACTCTGCCGGCCCTCTCTAACAATGGTCTGATCGTATGCTCGCAGAAATTGAAATACAATTCTTCCATCGACGCTGATCTTAGCTCCAACAATTCGTCCAACGACGTGGCTTCACAGTCAAGGTCGGCTGCAGCTTCATTGAACCTCTTCCTGCGCTCTGCGTTTGTTTCACCCGGGATATGTCGTGGCGTCACTGGTGAGGCCGCTGTTATATCGCCATTTTTCAGCCTTATAGATTTGATTCGAAGCCCTCGCTTTTCCAGTCTCGTTCGAGTCATGAGCCGATGCAGCTCCACAATGCTGCCCATGCTTATGCATGAATTCTCGCCTAGACTCCAATTGGGCTCGAAGTTGCGTGCTAGGCACAAATCAAAGTATCGATAGGCATCCAGGGAGAGCTTTTCCCAGCTATTTCGATTTGTCCTTTCGAGTTGCGCGACATTGGCTTCATAGGTGGCCAGTGCATCTTTCGCTGTGTTCTTGTCATTTTCCCAACCTTCAAGGAATTCGGTTATAGTCTCTATTTCCTCTTCCGCATCGATTCGATTGTTGTCTTGCAGACGAGCTATGCGGCAATCAATGCAGTCTATGCTTCGTTGAATCCGAACCAGCTGTTGTTTGGATTCCGCGATCTGCGATTTCAGCAGTGCAATCGCCTGCGTGTCCTCGTAAATTCTTTGAAATAGGTCAAGGGTGCGAGGTCCGATATCTTGCAATGTGAACTGGCGCTGTTTGGGCAGTGCAGGTCGTCTATCCGGTGCTTTGCTCGTTTGTCGCCGTTTTATATTCGTAAAAGCGCACCATGGGGTTTCAGCTTTGGAGAGCCATGCGTATCGCCTCGACCAACGCCGCCCATCAGGGTGCAACTGCAAATACATGATCTCAGAGAATACGCTGCGTCTCGTCAACGCAATTTAATCAACTGCGAGAGTGCGCTCTATGACAACTTCAAAGGATGACCTTTCGGATTGAGATTCCAAGACAAAGGAACGTAGTCGTTTGTCTTATAATATTTGTTTCCGGCAGGGACCTGGACAAAGAAATCGAGAATACGATCCCGCTTAGTCTTTTTCATGGCAGCCATGTTCACTGTCAGTACATTCCAATGCAATGTATATACGCCGGTGATAGCGAACAGCTATTGGGATCAGTTCAGGATCTCCAACACGTCTTCTAAAAGGCTCTCATACTCTCTACATCGCGCTGTCTTGAATGAACAGGCAGGTAAGCAATTCTGATGTGGAGTTCACTTAGTGGAATACGTGGCTTGATACCCATTCTTCACTGTGCATTCTGAGGGCACGACATGATGATGTCAAGCTCTACGATGCTGTCTCTGCAAACCGCACTTGGGGTTGTAGCGAAGTTTGCTCGTTCCTTTGCAAAGGGTCTCAACAACTGCAGCAACTTGCTCAGAATGAAAGTGCCTGACCAGGATTACCAATTGCAGCATACGCGTACCTGAGAACGCGTCTGAATGATCGGTGCATTGATGAAAGGAGCGCTATGTCGGCATTCTGGAAGGGCCTTTGTGTGCTTGAATTGATGAGAGTCTCGTTTGGTTGTACGGAAAGGAGGCGTTCTATGATTGCTTTGACGGAAGGGCAGCAGCCACTGTGTCTGCCTATGTACTTTATGCTTGCTTCTCTTGTGGGTTTGAACAGCGCCGTGGCCAGTCATGGAGGCTGTCGCGCTCGCAGGAGCGCTTTGTGTAGTCTAGTCATCGAATGGTCGCATAGAACATCTGGCAGATCATCTGTCTCAGGGGTCACTCCTTACAAGTTTTTGAAGGATGAGCTTCATCTAGGCTGATTGATGACGAGCACTTCAAGACGCGCTTGAGCGAGTAGGACGCACCAGTACATTATATGTTGGCCGCATTGATCGTTGACTGAGCAGACAATGAACATATTCAAATTCTCAAATACATGCATAAGGCCAGGTCCCGCCTACCCATTCCCCTTGAGAGAACTTTCTACAAGTGTCCACGTATCATTCAGATTCTGACCCTGGCTCGATTGCTAGCGAGACATACTTTTCCCTGGTTTCCTCTTGCTGTTTTCTACTCTGGTCCAAGTACGTTTTTCGATATTGTCTCAATTCTTCATCTGGCGACCCCGTCTGACTATGACTTCTCGATCTCAGATCTGACCCAGCAAGACTTTTACCAGGGCTCGGCGTGATCTCAGACCTACGTGGAGCATTATCGGCCTTCATCCGCCATTCGTTCAACTTATGGTTTCCTTTGTCGCATCTGTGTGACTCTCTTCTCAGGGAACGTCTCGGTGACTTGGGACTGGCGCTGTCTGAATTCCTCGTCCTGATCCTTCCATCTTTCACAGCCCGCAAGTACAAGCCATCTGTGGAGCGAGGCATCTTTATACCGTTTTGAACCAGACGTTTGCGTAGTTCCACAAGGTCTGCCTCTATTACCCGTGCTGCTTGTACGTCTTCCTCGAGCTCTTGAGCCATGAATGTCTCGTACCATTCATGACTTGAATTGCGAAAAGTCAGGAGATGGTCGAGCTCATTCGTTTCCATAGTTGAGTGCCTGGCATTCAGATCTCCTTGAGCTTCCACCAGCCGTTCGCGTAAATCCAAGTACTGCTCCTGGAGGTCATTGTCGGTTAGTTTAGATACCTCGCGGTTGGCGCTGTTATCTCCATCTGAATGAGACTTTGAGTGATCTCGCAGTGGCGGCCCTTCATTCGAAGATTGTGTCTGATCTTGACTCCTTTCGGCAGCGTCTTCGATGGAAGCCCCTGAACCATTTGGAGGCCCAGCTGATCCCGCTTTAAGCCTACCCGCATCCTCCAAAAGAGGCTCTATGATACCCCTGCAGAATCGATCTTGATCTCTACTGTGAAAGTCTCTTCGAAGCTGTAACAGGTCCTTTTGTGCTGCCAGTTCCGATTTCACTTGATCCAGTTCAGCGTCGACTTGGTGACGACGAGTCTCATCGAGCGCTCGCGAAAGGCCTAAATTTAATCTCGTCGTCTGGACATCGGTGGCTTTCTTGGCTTGCCGCTGACTGCTCTGGAGAGATATCCGCTTGTTGTCCCATTGGCGTATCTGTGTCTCACTGTGGCTAATCAGGGAGACTTGATCGACCATCTGTCGCAACCATCGGCAGGACCTCTCTTTCAGAGCCCAACATGCTTCGAAGTTTACTTCGAAACAGCTATCAAAGTAACTTCGCACGTTTGCAAACACTTCCTGCCAGGTGGAGCTTCTTCGTCTTTCCAGCTCTGCCAATGTGCTCTCGCCTTCTGCCAAGTCCCGATTTATGTCTGTGATTTGGTGTTCCAGATTTGCTGAAGCCGCGTGATGTCTAGCCATATGAGGCTCCATATCCAAACTCGGGTCATTATCGTACTGTACGATTATGCTGACGATCCGGTCGTAGTAGGCTTGAGCATTACAAAGTCTCCGTCTCAGAGTTTCGGTCCGATGCTGCAAGGCTGAGATTGCTTCAAAATCACGATGGAGACTAGTAAATAGCTCGAGCATACTAGGCCCAATGTTCTCGACTGTTGGTGTCGTGTGCGCATTTTGCGGAAGTCTGTTATCTCTCCTCGGTCTTGTGGCTAGCGCTGCGCTGAGACGTTGCTGAAGTCTACTGAAAAGGCACCACAGCATTTCGTATTGAACGTATCTTGCCGCCCGTAAGCTCGGACTGGGATCGATGGTTGAGGGCATAATCCTGATGGGTAGTCGTGAAGGATCTGCAGTGAAACCGCGCGAGTTTCATACTGATATGCCAGCACTCAATGTCAGCTCTTATTGAACCCCGTGGTCAAGTACGTTCGATGGTAGCCGAGTTGCAAAATCGGCCCAGATGGCTAAGATACGAAATAGAGCACAATGAGTCATTTTGTCATCTTATAGGTGTCCATTGACTTTCTATATGGGCTTGAATAGAGTGCAAACATGATTTGGTGGCTTGAGTAGCGGCTTTGGCTGCGAAGCTAGGACGCACAATCTCCAAATCCGCGTCTGAGTTCCTGGGCACTGTCGCGCAAAATTGAAGCGAACTGCAAACGTAACGAGCGCGCGCTGGCTTTGTCCTGAACGCCGCCTCGGCTGCTCCAGAGAACGTCGCAGATCCAACCCACACGACGGCTCTCGCAACGCCCGCTACAGTGATCGCAACGAGGACCCCGGCGTTCGTCCTTACAATCGCAGCGAGCAGGAAGGTCGTGGCTCACGATGTCGACGACACGATTCTCGCGGCCCTCGTGGAGGCGGTGGAGGCAGAGGACGGCACCATGGCCTTCGCGACGGCGACGAGAATAAGCGAGGCGGCGGAAGTGGCCAGGTTCACCACATGGTCAATCCGACGTGGTGAGGCTCTCCGTCTGCTCTCGCTTCAGGCTTTGGCACTTTTCTCTGCTTCGCGGCTCCATAGTTCTCGGCAGCTTCATCATCATGCTTTTTGCCGTTCTTCACATCATTCAGCTTCCGGCTCTGACTCTACCGCTGGAGCACCGTAACCTTCTCTCATCTTCTCTTGGTACTGTTGGTTCTCTTTCAAGAACCTCTGCCGATATCTCCTTAGCTCCTCATCCGGCGATGCTGTTTGGGTGCGACTCCTTGACCGAAGACTTGAATCTGCAAGGCTCTTGCCAAGGCTTGCTGTAATATCTAACGTCGCTATTGCATCGTCAGCCGCGACGCGCCAGCGATTCAGTCTTCCAGTCCAATTGTCACGCCTTGGTGGCGATGGACGGGGAGGAGATCTGTGAGACTGCCTGCTACCGCTGCGTGTTCGGGCTCTCTTCCTAATGCCTCCTCCTGTAATGCTGCGCGAGGCTTCGTTAGGCGAGCGTGGTACTTCTCGCCCAGCACTTATAAGCCTTTGGCGCAAAGAAACAAGCTCTTGCTCGGTCAAGCCAATGATCTCAGCTTCGGAGCTCATTTTGCTCTCCACGAAGGCCTCGAAGCTGGCCTCATTCGAATTTGTGAAGGTCATGAAATGGCCAATTCCGAATGATTTGCAGCTAGTATTTCTTAGCGCCATATTCTTGCTGGAGCTGTGTCAGTCGGTCTTGCACTTGAATGTATTCTCGCTCAAGTGATCTTTCAGCTGCACCGTACTTGTCTGATGATGCCTCGTTGGCGATATCTGGATCCCTCTGGCGATCATCTGAGGATTGAAACTCGGTCTCGGCAGTCGGTAGCCAATCTACGGGTGGATTCGGATTCGTGTCACTGGGCATATCGCTTAGATCAACATCAGGCTCAGGCACTTCAGGCTCAGGCACTTCAGGCTCGATTCTTCCACTTCGCCTCAGCAGAGCTTGAAGGTTGTCCTCACAGAACGATTCCTGATCCTCGCGGTATCTATCTTGTCGCAAACGTAAGAGATCTTGCTTTTTACGGATTTCCAAAGCAATACGGTCCAGCTCGACTTGAATCCTTTCTTTCCGAGCTTGATCAAGGGCTCGAGAGAGGTCTCCACCAAGCCTCGCCGCCTTGACATTAGCCTGTTGATTTGCTGTCCGTCGTTCGTGCCCGATCGCGCAATGCCTTGAGTTTAGCTCCGCGAGCTCGCGTCGAGTATGTGTTATGAGATAGTTTTGATCAATGATGGTCCGCAGAGCTCGACAATCTTCCTCGTCTAGACTCCAGTTTGTCTTGAAATCTGCAGCCAAGCAGCTATTGAAATAGTGACTCGCGTCGTTCCGTAGGTCCGTCCACAATCCCTCTTTGTCAGCCCGAAGCTCCGCCATTGTGGTCTGCAAAGCGTCAAAATTGGTGGTGTGTGTTTCAATATCATGCTTCAATTTTTCGAGGATCTCGCAACTCCGCTCCGCATATTGGACTGGATCTATGCGCGAGTCGTCTCTGAGGTGCAACCAGCTGCACTCACTCTCGTCTCTTAATCGCTGGGCAATCTCGGCGTCCTCCTGGCATTCATCGATTTCGGCTTGCAAAGCCGCAATGGACAGAGCATTGTGATACATGGCCTCGAAACGATCTAACATCCTTGGACCGATTCCAGTTGGCGGCCTCGTATTTGTCGTTCTGGGCAGAAATGTGGGAACCGGCTGCCGCGTCAACAGTTGAGGAAGCCTGCGTAACCCTCTCATGTCCCCAAAAATGCACCACGTGTCCACTCTTGAGACTTCGATATCTTTCTTGAGCCATGGTCGACCGCGAGTATTCATGAGTGAAACCATTGTGCCGGAGCTGTGAGTGGAAGGAGCTGAGTTGCAAAAAGGTAGCTGTGGGGTTGATTGCAATAAAGGAAAACGTACTTCAAAGAGACAAGCATCGAGGTGACAAAGGCGCGATAGGAAGGCATCCGGATTTGGTCACTTCTCATGATCTATTCCTGTCTTACAACGTTTCTACAGAACGAAGGTCTGCTTCGCTAGGCGGAAGAAAGGCGAAAAAGATGCTTTTCGTTGACGCAAACGTGTAAGCAGAGGGCAGCTCGAGCATCACTCAGCCCACATCTTTACAGTCGATGATTGAAAGTAACGACGAGAATTCGTAATTGCTCATCGAGCCTAGGTAGCGTAGTTTGCCTTACATTTCGATTGGATATATTTCGAGACGTGGAAAGCTGATGTGATCGGTACCCAAGCTTCACATATTCCAGGCGAAACCTTCTTCGCAGTCTTGGATCGGAGGTTGAAAAGTACAGGTCAGGTACCTACTATTAGACATGAGTGCCTTCGAAGACGATAATGCAATTCGGGATTCATTCACCAACGCCCGGGCCATCACATGCACTAGCGCCATCGGAAGAGGCCAAGAAATTTTAGCGAAACCCAAATTCTCGGAAGCCGTCTCTTCTGCGACAACATCATTTTGGCGGCGTTCATTTCACCACCACCATCCGTTGCCCTCGAGAGAAGCCTTACAAGCTTTGCAGTCGCGTTCACACAAACCCTTCAGAATCAGTCACAAACGAACGCGACGGCCCAGGCCGGAACGTGGACAGCAACACCTGCATATCGCACTCGTCCCTCGAACAGCCGCGCACGTCCGCTAAACACGCAACACCAATGTCACAAGGTGTCGCCTCGGTCGCGCACGACATCCTCGCGGGCGCGAAGACATCATTCCAGACATCTCCGACACTCGGTATGGCGCAATACCGACAGGGAAGTACAAGTGGCTTGCAAAACCCGCTCTCAGCTCAGCCAGGCCACCTTGGTAGCGCTGTAGCCAATGCGCAGCTCGGCGCCTCTGACCACAGCGGTGCAGCTGGACACGGCATTTCGTCGTCCAGCGATGGAAGTCCTCGTCTGAGCAGCACGGCGACTCACCCTTCACCCCCACCTACAAAGCATGCTCCGTATGATGCGCTCGACAACATCAAAGGCATGATCACGGATACAGTTGGCGAGTCTTTTCTACTCAAAGCGGCACACCAGGACCTTCTGAAGGCCCTTGGAAATGCTCGTCCGGAAGACCTGATGAATGTTGAGATCATCGAGGCTCTCCCTGCGTTGCTTGTAGCTCCAGGACAAGACAAGGGACAGGAGAAGCAGCTCAAGAAAGCAATTCTTGGATTCGCCAACCTCATCAAGATGACAGCCGATGCAGAGGTGAGGCCTGACTTCGTCAAATCAAAGAACGCAGACCTCAGCAATAACGTGAAGAAGAACAACAATCGTCTGCGTCCCGGAATGTCGATCTACGCCACCTGCATCGAGCCAATGGCCAACAGACAGACAAAGCCGTACCACGAAACCTACGTTTCTACACCTGGGCCTACCGTCATCTGCAAACGCTACTGTAATCTGGTTTACAAGATTGAAGGCGATCGGATCCGCACCCTTCGTTATATGACAAAGGAAGGCAATGGAATGAAGGCAGTGGATAGCGATATGCTGCATCGTTACGGAACATGCATGAAGGCTGGCGGAGATACCAGCAGGCGAGAAGGAGGTGCACCTTTAGTCCAAACCAGCAGCAACGAACCAGAATACGCCATGATCTGCACGATTGAGCGGAATGTCTACATGGGTGACTACATCGAGATAGCTGACCGTCAAGTGACGAAGGACAGTCTCGTACGAATCGTGGACTATTTGCTGGCGGCTGGCAGCATCGCAGAGAAAGACGCAAAAGAGATTTTGGAGGTCAACGGAGTAACGGAAGCATTGGTCGACCAATATCGAGAGATTGGAGTCCCTGAGCCTGGCGAGATTCTGGTTGAGAAGGCCGGTGCTGTCTGCTGACTTCCTGCTGAACAAAACCTGAACTCCTTTGGCACTCCAAAATCCTGGCCTGCTGACAGAATACGTGCGGACGGATGTAAGAGCCCCTTTGTCTGCGTTGCTGCCAATGCTGGGAACGGTAACGCGGGAAGCGTTGGTCCGCAGAAGCGTGGTGAGGCAGACACCGGCGGTGGAAGCCAGCAGTCACGAACGGCACATCCTACAGATCGAGGCTCGGAAAACGGAAGAACTGCAACTACGGCAAGGAATCATGCCAGCATGAGCCGATCGCAGCCCGTATCCAACGGCAAAGGCCCTGAAAAGAGACTTCAGCCCAAGAACGGAATCACCAAGCAAAACCATCAAGCCAAGAAACCGCGCAAGAACGAAAAGGCCGCAGCATTCCGGAAAGAGATAATAGAGCATGGTGCTTTCGGCGAGGGTTCTGTCTTCAATCAGGTTCAACGCTCGAAGCCCGGTTACAACGAGGAGAGCACGACTTTCCCTCCAGCCCGCATGTCTAGCCGACGCAATGCTGCGTCTCAGAGCACGGTGCGTCAGCACAAAAACACCGTTGCTGGAGGCTCAAACCGCAACACGCGCGACTACGAGACACCACAGACGCGCCGACCAAACCCTGAGCGTGGTCCAGCACCCATGCAGCCACAGCCTGTCAGTCAGTACCCTAGAGGCAAGAACCACAACAACAACTCTTCAGCATACCCGCCGCAACATAACGCCAATGGCTTCCCTGCAAGCGGAAGCGAGTCATACACCAAAAACCCTAACGCGTGGCCACCGAGATGAAGGCAGCTTGCCACCATGATCGATGCTGATGACTGTAATGCAACGTTTGACCCCCTTTTGTAGGCGCAATCCGAAGAGCAGAGCTGACCTACCAGACAACTTCGAACCCCGGGAGCCAGCCGGCTATTTCGCACCGCTATCATACCACACTACCTTCTCCACAAGACACGACTACACTCTGCGTTGGTCCGAAAGGACCGCAGCTGGACACTTCCTGTCCGGCGCTACATATCCCCTCAATTCCTGCCGACGTTCTTTCACCACGCTCGCGGCAACCTCCACACTGATTGATGCTTTCTCGTTTTACAACGTTTCTTCTTGGCTTTACTCACTGCATACCTTTCCTCATTCAGCTAAATCCTGTTCAGACGCGTGGCAGCAACACGGTCTTCCCAGACGCGTGTTTGACAGAGCAAGATGGCGGGAGCGCGGATGGTAGTTTCCCTCACTTGATTTTGCGATGCGAACGGACATGACGAACAAAGCGAGGCGTCGCAGGAGAACAATGGGGAAAAGGGCATGCTTGTCTAGATCGCGCTTCTAACGCGCCTGTTGTTTACACGAGCATAGCAGATGTTTATAGTGTTGTATGGTCTTTCTTAACTGTCGAAGTGAGAAGAGAGCATTGTCTTCTCCTTTCAGCTCATGCACCTAGGATGAGTATCTACTTACCAGTTGTGACACCGGAGGTGGAAAAGTAAACCTGCCGTCTCAGGTTTGTTCTGGTAGGCACCACGCGTACTTCTCGGCTACAATCTCTCTGCAGCGCTGGGGGCAGGGAGCAAGTGATGTAACGTACTTGATGGGGAAGCTACGCAGACGGTGAAGCTGCGCACAAGCCTCGAATCCTCGATACTCTCGACTATCTACGTAACGCTACAGTAATACAGCTACCCTTACTATCGCTATCCTCGTTCTCGGGTACCTCCTCGATAATGTCCTCGATTTCCGGACTCGGAGAGGCGTTCCGCTTCCGTTTACGAGTT